CTCAAGCCTAGAGTAGAGTTACTCCTTGTGTAAATATTATTTACAGAACTCTCCAATGAAAATATTACCATCTTACTCGGAAATGGTAAAAGTCTAGAATGCATGATAAAACTGTAATTTCCCTTTCTCCTGCTATCTGTTCCCAGAGTCGAGCTCATAATTATAATAGCATACTAAAAGATATTGGGAAGGTTGGGCCTGAGAAGTTTTTTTTGTTGTTGTTTAAAAAGAAATTTCTCATCAATCATTCACTGAATCGTTTTAGCAGCTACTGAAAATTGTTGCCTAGATCCACTGTTTTGTCGAGGGTTGCAAAATGATGAGTTTTTTTCCTAATTTTTTCATTTCCTCTGTATATATTAGCTGGAAATTTGCTTTAAAAAAAAAAAAGCTTTCAGGGGCGCCTGGGCGGCTCAGTGGGTTAAATCCTCTGCCTTCGGCTCAGGTCATGATCCCAGGGTCCTGGGATCGAGCCCCACATCAGGCTCTCTGCTCAGCAGGGAGCCTGCTTCCCTTCCTCTCTCTGCCTGCCTCTCTGCCTACTTGTGATCTCTGTCTGTCAAATAAATAAATAAAATCTTTAAAAAAAAGAGCTTTCTCTTATCAACTACTTGATTTTGTTGCGGAGAGTTAAGATAAATGCTTGAATAGTTGACTTTAGCTATCAATTTTTAAGAATCAGGGGGCGCTACCTTAGTAACTACCGAAGGTGACCAATGATTTGATTGGTTAATTATGATTTTTACATATTTGATGCATTGTAATCATTTCAGGCTTTTTTTTTTTAATGTTTATTGGGCGCCCCTTCGTGGTGGCTTTTGAGTGGGTCTGGAAGTTTTCATCAGGTGACCAAGCAGGCAGATCAGATCAAGAACTACTACAGTGGGGTGCCTGGGAGGGAAAAGGGGTGCTTGCTGAGGGCCAGCTCCACTTACTTGGCCTGAAGCAATATGTTGGACTCATAATAAAGCTATATTGTTTTTTTCTTCTTGATTTGTCACTCTTTTATTTATGACAGTGATTTCTTTTAGGCTTTTTTTTTTTTAATTTGACAGAGAGAGAGACACACAGCGAGAGAAAGAACATAAGCAGGGGGTGTGGAAGAGAGAGAAGCAGGCTCCTCGCTGAGTAGGGAGGCTGATGTGGGGCTCGATCCCAGGGTCCTGGGATCATGAGCTGAGCTGAAGGCAGAGGCTTAACCCACTGAGCCACCCAGGCGCACCTGACTGAGTGATTACTTGAGTGTCTGTGTTAACCTGTTCATATTACTCTTCATTTACCTCTCTATGTAATTTTACTACGCTGAGCATGTTCCACACCCCAGTCTCCCCCTGGCACGGTGTTGAAAAGAAGTTGTTAAAGTGGATATCACTCATCATGTTTCCAATTTTGGGAAGAAAGCTCTCAGCATTTTAACAGAACGTATGATGTTTGTGCATTCTTTCTATGGACACACACCACCTCCCTTGCCCCAGCCCCATGCACATTTGTAGATACCCAAACAAATTTCTTTTTTAGAGAGAGAGACAGTGCGTGCAAGTTGGGGGGCAGGGCAGGGGGGGGCGGAGAGAGAGAGAGAGGGAATCGTAAGCAGGCTCCACGCCCAGTGCACAACCCAATGCAGGGTATCATCTCCCAAACCCGAGATCATGGCCTGAGTTGAAATCAAGAGTCGGACACTTAACTGACAGAGCCACACAGGCGCCTCTGGAGATAATTTATTACAAAGCAACGACAAAGGCTCTGAGCCACAAGAGCTGCTCGATTTGGCTCCACCCCACCACGTATTCATTTGATGAGGAGACAGTGAGCCAAATGGACACAGACGGTCTGTTACTAACAAGTGCAGCAAAAGCGAGATCAGAAGGTCAGCATGGCGTCAGTTCTGCACATCCCTGATCCCAAAGAATGACAACCAGAGGGACAAGATGACAGATGACATGAGCCGTGAGTCGCTCTATCATGGAAGAGCTGTTCCCATATCACATCTAGTGGCTTGCATAGCCTGAAGTTGTACCCTAAGGGAGGAAGCAAGATGGAAAGTCCCATGCCTCACCAGAATTGGGAGGTGGATAAGGAGGTGTCTCTTGGCAGCCCCCCCACAAAATAGGGAGGGAGTGAGAAAGAGTCTTCACAAGGCTGCTTGTCTTGACCTGTGCCAGGGAGGATCTCAGGGCATTTCACCAAAACTTAGGTCAGCTTGTCATTGAGTGTTGCTTGTGGGACGTGTGTGGAGAAGTGCCAGGTTGTTAGGACACCTGAGTGGAGGCTTTTCCCTATAACCAAAAGCAAATTATGAAAATTAAGGAAAAATATTAACTATATTGATAAAGAGTAATAAAATTATTTTACTTTTGTTTATTACAATAAAGTGATAGTAATATTTAATAGGTTAGTTGTCAAATTGTGTTCTGTAGAAATCCTTCAGTGATGGTAAATCAGTATTTTACCACTAGATGGCGCATGACAAAAATTCATCATCCAGTTGGTCAGTATGGAAAGCTTTCTCTGAATGAGAGATTATAAACGTAATTGTCATTAATTCCAAAATGTATATGAGTTTTTTTAGAAAGAAAGTAATGCACATTTCTCAAAGCATTTTTTAATGTGTGAAAAGAAAATGACATCATTATCCAACAGACAAATAAAAATGTTTTCTCCATAATTCCAATGTAAAAAGCCTTAATCTTTGGGGTAGATTGTATTAATCTATACCCCCCACCCTCATATCCATTCCCTTTGTCATATCCATCAGAGCCATTTATTATTAAAACTGAATAATTTTTAAAATGAATTTTAGCTTTAAATACAGTTGTACAATAATTACTGTTTTAAAGATTTTATTTATTTGAGAGAGAGAGAGAGAGACAGAGAGAACAAGGTTGGGGGGTGCAGAGGGACCAGCAGACTCCCCGCTGATCAGGGAGCCCAACTCGGGGGGCTTGATTCCAGGACTCTGAGATCATGACCTAAGCCAAAGTCGGATGCTTAACCAACTGAGCCACTCAAGCACACCCCTACGATAATTATTTTAAAAAATATTTTATTTTCTTGATTTTAGACCAGAGAATAATATAGTAAAAACTTGTATGTACTTAACATAGGTTTACCAATTATTAACATATTGCCACATTTGCTTTATCTATTACTACAATTTTTTCTCAAGCATTTCAGAGTACTTAGTAGACATAATGGCACTTTGCCTCTCAGTACTTCACATGTATCTCATGAGAACAAATCCATCCTCCTATATTATCATACCAAACAACTTTTACATTGATTTAATATTATCTAGTCTGCATTCAAATGTCTCCGTTGTTCCTGAAATGTCTTTTATAGCTGTTTTATTTTCTATACACGATCTAACCAAAGATCACAGTGCATTTGGTCATCATACTTTTTATGGAGGTCATATCTCTTTAATCTTCTTTAATCTAGAACAGTTTCCCTTCCCATCCTTTAAAAAATATGACAATTTTATACACATATACAGAGGTGTATATATGTTTATTTACATATTAAAATACTTAATAACATATTAAAATATTTAATATGTATTTCTTTACTTCCTCTACCCACTGGAAGTCCAGTATTTTTTAGGCAAGCAATGTAACAACCCTAATTATAAATGTTACCCAAAATTGATGAAATATAAAAAGTATGTTAATAAAATATCTCCATTTCTAAAGGCAGCTGTTCTACATGTCATGTATAATAAAAACCCAAATAGAGGTTTTTGGGGTAGTCATTCATTAGATTATGAGCTTTCAGAGGGAACAGATTGTGTTTTATTCATTTGTATAATCTCTGCCCACCATATAGTATACTGAATGTGGTGAAACTCAGTACATCTTTGTGGAGTGAATGAATGGTTTGCTGTTTTTTTGCTGTGGTAAAATACACATAACATAAAATTTAACGTTGTAACTATTTTAAGTGTACAGTTCAGTGGCAATAAGAACATCCACGTTGTTGGGCATGGTTCTCTTTTAATAGCCTAAGGGACATGTGTTAATTGCAGGAAAATTATTAAATAGATCATGAAAAAGAAAAATGATCTAAACTCCCATCAAATTCTACCATCCATAGAAAACCCAGACATAATCACTCTTAACATTTTGGTGTAGTATCCTTCCAGACTTTTTTGCATACATTTATTCCTATCTACGTAAGTTATAAGTGATTGCATTGTACATAATGTCTAATCACCTGCTTTTATTTCCTTAATGTATAGTCAATATTCTGTCATATTAATGTTAATATTTACAGATAAGTGGGTTTCGATCTGCTTGTAGTTCATCCACTGTTTTTATGCCATATACCTCCAATAGCCATGCTGTTGGGTGGGGGTCGTGGTGACAGAGCTAAGGACACAGGTGAATTCTGTGTGGTTTTTAGTTTTTCTGAGCATAGTGGATAATAACACTGGTTTAGGGCACAAGTTTCTCTGTGTAATTTGGGGACTGCAGAAGGGATTTAGGCATCCTTTGTTGAGGCCCATCTTTAGATCAAGGGTCTAATGGCAGCGTTGCACCAAGGGAGGGCAGAATAACAATCTCTGTCATTTGTCATTCCAATCCAAAATCTTCCTCTGGGGAACTTGTTATTTAAGGCCTGACTCTCCTTATTATTTGCCTGGGGGAAAACACATACTGAACCACAAAATGCTCCCAGAGACTAGACCTTGTCAATGTTTTCTGATGCCTAGTAGGACCACTGCAGAAAAAAAATATTAATGAGACTGTTGCTAGGAGACGGGAGAGCCAAAAGCCCAAGACATTGTAGGGGTTCCTCTGAAAACCAAAGCACTTTAAGTAGGTTTTAGATTGGAGGTTTTGTTATTAAAATCTCTTCTTTGATGAACATGTACTTTTTAGCATGTAACTTGTAATATGATTTTTATGTTTTTGGAGGAATTTGGGAGTAATCCCAAGGCATTTCATTTCTTTCCATAGGGCTAATCCCTTCTTCAGAGCACAGCTCAGTTTCAAGTGGCTGCCGCTTTCCCCCTCCCCTTCAGTGCGACAATCTCAGAGCTGGTGGAGAAGCAGAGCGTGTGCAGCTGGTAAGTAGCTGAGAAATCTTTTGTAAAATAGGTCCCTCAAATGGGCTTTTCAAAGCAAGTGACAAGTTTTGATGGAAAAGAATAATACAGAACTGTGTAGGAATTCCTGATTCTAATCAGCAGTATTGGGAAGATGCGTTAGTTTCATTCTAAATATTCCCCGGTCATTTACTAGTTCAAAGCTTGTTTCTTAAATGGCAAATGAGTTGCTAGAAGGAAATAGAGGAATCTCCCCTTGTGATTCTGGTAAGATATTTCCCAACATATGACTTGACGAAGATGTTACCTAGATGAGAAATTGCACTTGGAACAGTATCTCAGCCTTACAGTGTTTGAATTAGACTTGGTAGAATGGGTTACGATTGAAGATGTTCTCAGATCTGAGCTCCTGTCCCCGTATGGAGCGAGCATGACAAAACTGTTACTTTGCAATGGGAAGGATAGCATACCTCATTTTTTTTAAATGAAGAAAATCATGTGACTGGATGTCTGTACAGGAGAGAAAATGAGGAGGGTAGCCTGTAATGTTCAGTTTAATTGCTTCAAAGGAGAAATGAACATGTGTTGAATGGGAAAGATTAAAATTTGGTTTTAGGATGAGAAGTCATGAAAAGGAAATAATGAATATTGTGACTGCCTTTATTTTGAAAATGATTGATTTGTATTCATGGACATCAATTTGTACAGTAAAGGCAGAATATTCTCAAGTGCTTCTTTATTTGAAAAGAGCTCTGAGAACGATTACAGAGATTCCTATCAGAAAAGCTTTTATGTTTGTTTCTGAAATGTGCCTGAAAATGCGTAAGCTTTTGTGCCCCCTTTCACCTGGAAATCGCATTAGTAGATCCATTTCTGCAAGAAAACAAAACAAAACAAAACTGAAGTGGTGGTCTTTTTATTTCTTTGAGATTTAGGTTGTTGGTCCCTTCAAGGGGAAGGTGGAAAAAAAGGTAGATTTTTGAGTTAGATGACAAACAGCAACCAAGAAGGGAAAATAAGAAGGAAACGCTTAAATGAAAGCTCTCAAGATGGGCCATTTTTCCAAGCCAAAAATGTCTGCGGGTGGCATGTTTTGCAGGGGGTGGGGTGGGGGGGGAGAGCGTGTTAAAGGCAAAGGGAGGGGGGCATTGAACTGAGCACTGCGGCAAAGAGAAGGACTGACGCATCCAGGGACATGTGACTATTCTCTGGTGTAGTGAAGAAAATTTTCCAGGAGTCCATCTTGTATAAGAAATTCTGTAATGATGCTGTAATCTTCATGTAGTCCGCACTGCTGGCTCCTCCACTGGTAAATCAGTGCAGTCAGGCTTTGTTTTTCCTGTTTTTATTCCTAGACTTTCTTCTCTGTGCTCCCACTGCTTTTATAGCCCTTGTTAAAGTAGCTTCTTAAGAATGGTATCTTTCCCCTTTATCATAAAAAAATCACACATTAATTGTTTAAAATTTGGAAAAATTACTCTGTCCCTCTTTCCTGAATACATGCAAAGAAATGCCAGAGATATATACTTATATACAAAATGAAAATTACATATATACATAAATATAACTACATATATGACGTATATATATATATATATAGTTTTCGACTTATTTGAATAATCATTCAACATTATATTGAAAATAATTCCTCATATTTTTAAACATTCCACAAGAAGTCAGTGTTTCGCGGATGCATAATTTCTGATCATAGAGGTGTCCCACTAAATGTCCACTTACTGAACGTTTATATGTGCAGTCTTTGCTGTTACAATTTAAGGAATATCTTTCCATATAAACCTCTGTGTGCTTTTCTGTTTTTTTTTTTCCCCTAGGATAAATTCGTAGACGTGGAATTTCTGGATCAAATGGTATGAACCAGTTTAAGATTTCTCCTCCTTCTCCACCACCTTATACATCATCACCTAATTAGTTTATCATATGTGGTAAAAACATTATTTCCCAGTTGTTGTTTGCCTATTGATTTTGTATCATTTATGCTGGTTTTTTTTTTAACATGTTACAGTTTTATATTTTTAGATATCCGTAGCAATCTATTTTTGATTTTATGATTTATTTCTTTCCTTTAATGAGTATATTGACTTGTATTTTTTCTAGTTATTTCATTGCTTCATTTTTTCTTTTTTTACAATTAACTCTAATTCATCTGGAATTCATTTTGGTATGTGGTATGAATATGAAGTAGGATCTAATTTTGTTTTTTTTCCAAATAGGTCACCAATTGTTTCAACATCATTTATTGAATAATTCAACCTTCTTCCACTGATATGAAATGGCAACAACTGCTCTCCCTTTAGCTAGGGTATAGTGTCCACAGGTTGGCCATTTTCTTTCTACCCGAGATGGTAACATTCCACAATAGCACTCCTACCTTCTTGCAGCTTCTGGCAGCTTTCTAAAACATCATGTTCGTGTTCATGCCTTTCAAGGATTCTAGGCACATGTGGTTTAGGGCAGTGGTTTTCAAACAGGATTTATAAATTTAAAATTTTCCAAAATTGTATTTTTATCGGATGTTTTTCACAAATTAAAATCGAGGAATCTGAATATCGAAAACCACTGTTCCAGATGTGCTATTCCTCTTGGACACAGCTGGCATTCTAATTGTTCAAAACTTACCCCCAGGGTTAGTTAATGTTACTCCTATGATTCCTTCTTCAACCTTTTTTTCTACTCCTTAGGTTCTCGGAGAATTAAAGCTGTCTGGTCTTAGTTTCCGGAATTTTCTAGAATGGTATAAGAAGGAAATGTAAGAGATGTGTGAGGAGCAGAAATAAATAATGTTTGCCAGCCTGTTGCTGGCAGTAGTCCGATCTAGGGATTTAAAGAAGGTAGGATGAGTCCAATCCATGCCATCACTGCCACCATCTCTTGTAGGTAGACACACCCCCAGTGGTTCACTTCTTTTCACTGTAGGCAGAAGGCTCCAGCATGAAACACAGACTCAGTGGGAGAAGAGTTAAATGTTGCTTACAGAAATCTTTGATTATTGAAATCACCTGCTACCCACTGTTGGCCCTCCCACCCCCATTCCCGCTCTCAACACAGCCTTCTTTCTCTGTTGTCTTCCTGACTCTGGCCTCTAGCCTTTCCTGATTCAGGAAGAAAAATTGGGGGCATTGGGTGGGAGGGTGCCTTGCCTGCCCTTATTAGGGGCTCATTTGGCTCACAGCCAGAGTCCCAGTCATTTCTTGACTTGCACATTTAGGCTGTGATTTGTTTGTGACTGGAGGCTGGTTTCCCTGGCAACAGCAGCTCTCCAGGGCATGCGCATTTGCTCCTCTGCAGTGGCAGAATGTGGCTGTGTCAGCGAGGTGGGGGGGGACTGTGGTGGGGGCCCACGTCACTGGAGGCGCTCTTCTGCAGTCATGATGTCAGTTTTTCTGGGCTAGACTGCCATCGTTATCTTATATAGAGCATTGCGTTATTTTTTTAATACTTGGAAGGCTTTGAGCTACTCCCTTTTCTTCCACGTTCCCTTCTCTCAATATATCCAGCAGTGACCACGAAGTATTCCCAGTGTTTGAGGCCATTGATGCCCCCGGAACCCTAAGGAGATTCATGATAGTGTGGACACAGGAAACAAACTGCCTGGTTTCAGACCTCTGCCTCTTGGTAGTTGTGTGACCATAGTACATAGTGCTTCCATTTTCTCAGATATAAAATGGAGATTAATAATAGCACCTTTAGAACAGTGTCTGTTACATAGTAACTGTAGTGTAAGTGTTGGTATCATTTGTAGATATTAAAGGAGAATTTGCCCTGAAACAGACTTGCCCTGCAATGTACAAACTTACCCTCTATTGTCCACTGGGCAAATACACACACACACACACACACACACACACACTCTCTCTCTCTCTCTCTCTCTCTCTGTCCACTGGGCAAATACACACACACACACACTCTCTCTCTCTCTCTCTCTCTCTCTTAACCTTGCAGCACACAGGCTCTTCCCATGACACACGGACAAGCACCACAGCAGAAAACCTTGCCCCATAGTACACAGGCATCCCCCATATCACTCAGATTTACCTAAAGGCACACACATTCTCCACAAGGCAAAAAGTCTCACTGAAGGGACATGGATCTACCGCACGTGACACAGACTCACTCTTCCATAAAGACTGTATCCATGACACATGCACAATCCCCGATATCACAGACTGTCCCCATATCACAGAGGCCCTTCACCTAGGACAGTCTCTCTAGCAAATATAGACTCACTCCACAGGACACAGGCCCTGCAGGGTACAGACCTCACCAGAGAACATGGTCTCTGCCCATGGCTTATGGATGCCCATGGCACACAGATTCTCCCCACGGCACACAGATTTCTCCCAGTGTCCCACTGACTAAACCAATGGCCAAGATTCTCCCCAGGGCACAGGTCACATCCCGAAGACACTCCCTAGAGCACACAGATACAACCGCCCCCCCCGCAAGGCACACAGCCTTAACCCATGACACAGAGATGCACTCTAGAGCACATGGACTGTCCACAGAACACAGACTTTCCCCCAGAACACAGTTCCTGGCCCAGCTTGGAGACCCACACCGAGGGACACAGTGTCCCACACCAGACAGACTTGCTTTGTGGCACATAGACAAACACCACAGGACATAGGCCATCCCAAAAAGACCCAAACTTGTTCCATGGTGTACAGACACTACCCAAATCACACGGACTCACCCCATAAGATGCAAACTAAACCCATGGCACAGAGAGTCTTCCCACAACACAGAGATTCTCCCCACAGCCAAAAGATTGTTCCCATAGAACACAGTCTGCCCTACAAACTGAGATGCCCCACAGCACACAGACATCCCCTACAGAGTATAAACTCACCCCACAGACTTTCTCCATGGGACCCAGGCCCTCCCCACTTCAGGCCGACTGGCCCCAGGGTGCACAGCCTCTCCCCAAGACACAGACTTGTCCCACAACACAAGGACATGCCCCTAAGAACATAGACTCTCCCCACAGCCTGAAGACTTACCATGGCACACAGATTAAACCCACAGCCCTCAGACAAGCTCCCCCCACATCCCAGAGGTGCAGTGGTGTGTCCTACCACACCTGTATCCCCCAGGGGCACGCAGGATTGGGCCACCACACCCAACCTCATCCCGCAGTGCACCGGGTCATATCACAACCCATGCCGCCCCCACACGATGCAAATGCTCATCCCGGGGCGGGCTCCCTTGCTCTGCTGCATCTCAGCCTCCCCCATGCGGACACTCACCCCCGATTCCTTTGACAAGCCCCCCACGGGGTGCAGCACTGTGCCCCAGCACACACTGGCCCCGCAAGGGACAGACTGGGTCTAGGACAGACACGCTCAGACCGCAACAGCACCTAAGCTGTCGCCAGAGTGTCCAGCTCCCGCCCTCCGGGCACACACACGTCCCCCCGCGGGGCCAGTCACGGGCACGATCCAGGCTCCCCTCGTTCATTTCACAACGCAGATGTGTCACCCAAACACATTCCCCAGCACGGCGCTCCAACCCCTCGGGTGCACGTCAGTGTGTCACACACACTTGCCACACAGATTCGCCTCACAAAAACCACACTCCTTTGGGAGGCTCCGCCCCGAGAGCACACGCCCCGGGCACGGGCAGCCGTTGGCTCTACAACGCCCAGAGCTGCCTCAAAGCCCGGGGACCCATTTCACCGCTCACTACGCCGCTGCCCGTACACAAGTGTGCCCAGCCGTGCCCCGCGCTCCATCAGAACGCACACATCCCCCCGTCCGTGTACACACTTGCCCTGCAACACACACAAGCACCGCTGAGCGCGGACACTCCCCCCCCGAGTGTGCAGGCCCGCCACCCTTCACGGCCGAGACCGGCCCCACGCCCTACTCACACTCACTCTGGAGACGCAGCTTTCTTCTGCGGCACACAGCCTGGCATCGTAGCATGGACTTACTCCAAAACGGAAGACCGACCGTTCCCATAAACACTCCGCAGCACACGGACAGACACACGACACACATATGACCCCCGCAATGCAAATATTTCCATCGTAGTCTACAGACCAACTTTCCTGTATCATTGAGCTACAACTCGGGCCTGCGACAGAGACACAGCTTGTGTAGTGGTTAAGAGCAAGGCCTCTGGACCCAGACTACCTGGGTTAGGATCCAGGTTCTACCCTTTTCTAAGCGTATCACCCGGGGTAAGTACGTTTCTCTGTTCTTCAGTTTGCTCCTCTGTAAAACAAAGGTAACAGCAGGGCCTACTCCGAAGGGAGTGACTAGCCACTAGTACCGTTAACCCCAAATACCTAGAACCTGACAACACAAAGGCTCACCACGTGATACATAGATTGGCCCTAGGACAGGTGCAGATAGTCTATAGCACCGCAACCCCCCACACCCCACAGAACACAGAGCCCTAAACCGGTGCCGCTCACACGAGACAGAGCTGTAGCACAATCAAGAAATTTGCTCTACAGTGCACAGGCTCGCTCCATGATACACAGACTCATTCCGCAGTGTTTAGACGCACGACCCCCAGCCTCACCGTACAAGGCACAGACCCACAGCACAACACAACACAACACGCACACAAACATGCATGCATGCTCCCTGCAACTCAGTGATGTGCTCTATATCATGCCAACACCCCCCCCACACATACTCCGATTTTTTTTATAATGTGTGGATCTATCTTCTGTTGACACACAAACAGCTCCTACATTGACAATACTTGTGCCGTGATTCTAAGACTCTTCCTGCAACACACACACTCAGCCAGCAGTGCACGGGTTCCCCATGGTGCAGACTCATCACGCACAGACTCATCCAGAACACCTAGACAGGCTCTACAGGACACAGATTTGCTC